ATAGTATCTGAACAGAGACCAAAACAGTGTCTAAACCACAAAATAGGAACACCAGGGCCAGCCAGATAGCTCAGTGGATTAAAGCGCCTGCTTAGGCAGATGCAGGGGCCGGGGGTTAAATCTCTGGCCTGCTATGCCGGCCTCGCCCCCCAGGTGCACTGAGAGGCAAATGAGACTGGGCATGGTGGTGCACACCTGTAATCCTAGCACTTGGGAGGCTGAAAAACATGAAGGATCACCACCGAGTCCGATCTGTGTAGTGAGACCCTGTAGACCCTGTACTAAATACATATACAAAAAGAAAAAAACAACACTAAGCCAGGTGTGTTGGTGCATAACTGTAATTCTAATACTGAGGAGGCTGAGGCAGTAGGATTGCTGAGAATGTGAGGCAATCCTGGGCTGCATAGTGAGTTCAAGGCCAGAATAAACTACATTGTGTGACCCTGTCTCATAAAGACCAACCAACTAAACAAAGGAACATTTTATAAAATAAAAAAAAATCAAACATCCCCTTAACTAGGCTATGTGACTGCTTCATCGTTACTAATTAAAGAGTTTTAACCTCCTTCTAGACAAGATTAAAATACACAAGTGGGGCTGGGGAGGTAGCTTGATAGTCTAAGTATCTGCCTGGCAAATGCAAGGACCTGGGTTTGAACCCTGGTACCACATGCCATGCAAGCCCCAGAAGCCCTGGGCGTGTGCATGCTTGAACATGCCAGCAATGGAAACCAGGCGTGGCAACACACACCTGTAATCCCAGTGCTGGGGAGGCTGAGACAGGAGGATCACTATGTCTGAGCTGCATAGCAAGACCCTGTACCAAATTAAAAAAAAAAAATATATATATATATATATACACACACATATATATGTGTATATATATATATATATATATATACAGATATGATGAATTTTTGACAGTATACTCCAGAGCAAAGAGCCCTATTCCTCAAGGTCTCCCCCAAATATGACAAAAACTCTAGTCTTCTAGGTTCTAAGGGTCTCACTATGTAGTTTAGGCTGGCCTTAGACTCATTATGTAGATCAGGCTGGCTTCAGACTGTTATCCTCCTGCCTCAGCCTTCTAATTGCTGGGATTACAGTCATGTACCACCATGCCTGGCCCACCAGTATCAATTTTTACTTATTCTTTATTCTGTAGTAAACAATATATTAATATGAAGAACATATTAAATCTGAGCATTTGGGCCAGCCAGATAGCTCAGCATACTAAAGTGCCTGCTTAGGCAGATGCAGGGACTGTGGTTCAATCCCTGGGGTACAGTGCTGGCCCTGACTCCATAATGCACTGATATACCAATTGAGACTGGGCGTGGTGGTGCACACTTGTAATCCCAGCACCTGGGAGGCTGAAAATCACTAGGAGTCTGATCTGTGTAGTGAGACCCTGTACCACATACATAAAAAATAAATCTGAGCTTTTTATTCATTCCACCTCTTAGATGTCTTCCTATCTCTCCTATTTACCACCTCCCTGCTGTTATACTAGCTCAGCCCTTCATTACCCCTCATGATACACATAATGACACTAGCCTGCTGTAAGTGTTCTGAAGCACTATTCTAACCACCCACCTCACTCACCATTGAAAACCTTTGGAGTTTTGTCTCACTACTCCCTATGGTGTAAAATCAGCTACACATTCAAGGGATTCTACAATTCTGAGCCATTCCAACTCTGTTCCAGACACCGGAAGTTATAGTAGAATCTCAATATCCCTCATAAATGGTCCATATTTTTCATTACAAACATAAGATACTACTACTCCCATTTAACAGATACTAAGGCTCAGATCAGGGAACATGTGCCAAATGTGACAAAGCTCAGAGAAAAAAAGCAACCTTTGCTTTGGTTCTGGAAGATAAAGAGAAACAAGCTAACTGCAAAAAGAAAACAACCTTCCCTGCTTCCAAACACTTTATATCACAGGATGTAGGAATACAGAGGTAGGTGTTCAGTAAGTTAGTTCTAACCACCCACCTCACTCACCATTGAAAACCTTTGGAGTTTTGTCTCACTACTCCCTATGGTGTAAAATCAGCTACACATTCAAGGGATTCTACAATTCTGAGCCAGGAACCTGGGATAGGACTATAAGTCTGAGGTCAGCCTCCTCAATATAGTGAGACCATGTCTTTAAAAAGGGTGGTGAGGGGGGCAGGCAATATAATTTATTGAAAGAACTCTTTTCTAGCATACCTTTTGATTCACTCTCTAGTACCACCAAAAAAAAAAAAAAAGGTTGACTTTTGACTTAACATGTTTTCACCTTAATAAATTTAAGTAGCAGGAAATTCAGATATTCAATTCAGGTTATAAGTGAGCAATATTTGCTAGGCCAGACACCATGGTGCACATGTAGGAAACAGAATGAACCCTCCCAAACAGAAGATTCCTTTTCTACTCTAACAATGACAGTTCTCTTAAACAATGAGTGGACAGACAGGATGAGTGACTAGAAAAAGGAAGTTTTCTGAAGGTTTACTACTACATAGCATTGAAAAGCTTCAGTGTTAAGCCAAGCAACCTTCAACACAGGAAATGAAAGCAGGGAATGGTGGCATATGCTGTAGCCCCTACACTCTGGGAAATTAAGGCAGGAGGACCCAAAGTTCAAGCCAAAATTGGTGGACAATTTAACAAAACTAAAGACAGATGTGGTGGTATACACCAATAGTCCCAGTACTCAGGAGACTGAGACAGGAGCTTAGCTCTGAGTGGAGGCCACCCTAAACTACATAGTCAGGTCCTGTCTCTAAAAATAAAAAACAAAAAAAAGCGGGGGGAGTGTGGTAGAGAAGGAGGCTAGTGAGGTAGCCTGGTGCACAGGCTCTGGTTTCAGTCCTCAATACTGCCAAAAATGTAAAGAAAAAAAAAAAGAGGAAATGAAAACTTGGCCCCAAACACCATGGTTATTATTTCCTTCCTCAAAACTGTATGAATTTTTTCCTATGCTTTTTGGTTTTTTTAATGTATTTATCATAATGTCTACAGGGTCTCACTACACAGAGCAGACTTGTAGTGATCATTCCTGTTTTTCAGCTCCCCAAGTGCTGGGATTACAGGTGTGCGCTGCCACCACAGCAGGCTGGGGATCAAACCCCTGGCCCCTGCCTCTGACTAAGTAGGTGCTTTAATCAGCTGAGCTATCTGGCTGGTGCCCTATGACTTTTATAAACCAACATTTCTCCTAGTACAATGGTACCCCAGTAACTTGTTAATTGTTTCTGGGAGAGGCCACAAGTACCAAAACGAACAAGTACCAAATTAAATGTTTTTGCTGGAAAGGGTAGCAAGAAACAAGGAAATCAACAAGTTCCATCTCGTGCATCAAGTATCAAAAGCAACATAATGCATCAGGTACAAAGATGTGACTATAGGTTTTTCTTGATCTAAAGCAACCTTTCTAATCCATCTCAGCTGTGATTTGGACGAGGCTAAATTAAACATGGAGTACCTAGACCTAATCATTTCCCATCTCTAGGTCCTACTTGTCATGTAGTCATGTTTTTTGTACCCTTCTGTTCCAATCATATCTACTATTGAATTTATTTTATCCTGGGCTACAACTATGTTAGACAGCATGTTAATAAAAGTTTTGCTTCATTATTTGTAAGTTACTCTTAAAATTACTCCCTACTTTTTTGCCTTTTTGAGACAGAGTCTGGCCATCCAGTTCAGGCTGGCCTTGAACCTTGAGCTCACTTTGTAGCCCAGGTTGGTTTTGAACTTACAACGATCCTCCTGCCTTGTCTCCCAAGTGCTAGGTCTATAGGCATGTGCCACCATGCCTGGCTTTCCTTACTCTTGTAACACATTTAATTTTGCTCTCATCTCAATCCTTTTTAGAAGGCTACTTTACAAAGAGCAAATACACCTCAGATATATCATTAGACACATATTTCTTGCTTTCTTTATAGTTCATGTACAATCTCCGGATTCTATTACATTAAAAAAAATTACAAGGGCCAGGGACATGGCCCAGGAGAAAAAGTGCTTGCCTGGCAAGCACAAGGGCCTGAGTTCAATCCCTGGTTCCACCAAAAGAAAAAAAAAAAAAAAAAAACACAAAAGGAACATGGCAACACACAACTATAATCCCAGCTACTTGGAAGGCTGAGGTGGGAGGATCACAAACTCAAGGCTAGTCTGGGCAACTTAGTAAAACCCTGTCTCAAAATAAAAAAATAAAGAGGCTTAAGATGTAACACAGTGCAAGGTGCTGGATTCAATCCTCAGTCACACACACACAATTTCATCTTTAGCCAAATGCTAAACACCCTATGTCTGTAGGCTAGCAAACAGTATTTCTAGCTTCACTGTCATGTGTGCGGAAATGATGCTCTCATGGTCCTTTTTACCTAATCTTTCTTCTTTAAAATGTCTTTAAAACACAGACACACACACACAAACACACACACACAAACACACACACAGGCTGGGGGCATGGTGACCCATGCCTGTAATCCCAGCACTCAGGAGGCTGAGGTTGAAGGAATGCCACAAGTTTTAGGCCAGGCTAGACTCTATAGTGAGTTTAAGGCCAGCCTGGACTGCATAGTAAGAACCTGTCTCAAAAACAAAATTAAAACAAACAAAACAAAACAAATTCCAATTAACAGAAGCAACAGTGGCAGACAGAAACAATTAAGCACCTAAAAAAAACATATACTCCCTTGAAGATATCAGAAGTTGCAGAATTAAGAAAAGATGCAGAAAATGTGAGAAGAGATACTTAACAGGAAGGAGGGGAATGAATCATTAATAATTCTAGCACTCAAGAGGCTGAGGCAGGAGGATCACAAGTTCAAGGCAGCTTGGGCTACACATTAAGTTCAAAGGCCAACCTGAGCTACATAGTGAGACCCTGCCTCAAAAGAAAAAAAAAGGAGAGGAAAAAGATGCAATGAAAGGTTCTAGACTACAACATATAAAACTAATGTAAGACAAAGTTCTCAAGTCCCCGGACACTTACCGTGTTGCATTTTGTTCCACACACCACTTGCCTATGATTCAACCACTGAGAGGCAAATACTTTATTAAGGGTCCCAAGATGAAACTCTTTCTCCTTCAGGAGACTGGGAAGTTGCTGTGCTGCATAACCATGCAACACTCGACAGTAGCTGGTTTCATTCTGTAGCCTTACTTCCCTGTTCTTCAGGTAATACACTAAGGATCTCTTCACTGGGGGGAGCCTTTTCCTTTTGTGAAGCGAATGATCCCAGGCAAACTGTTAAAAGCAATATTAGAAATCAGAGATTTGAAACTGTCTCATTGCTATCTCTTTGTCAATAAAACTTTGAAAAAAAAATAAATAAAAATAAATAAAAAGTGTATTTCCATTTAAAAAAAAAAAAAAAGAAATCAGAGCTTTGGTTACTTAGCTACCTTTTTTCAGAACAAGAGATTCTACTGTATCATAAAAAATAACCAAGAACTCATCCTGCTGGATTTTCATGACAAGAAAGAAAGACCACAGTAAGAACTGCAATCTACGTCTATAATCCCAGCACTCCGGAGGCTGAGGCAGTAAGATCATTAGAGTTCGAGACTGGGCTGGGCTACAAAGTGAGCTCAAGGACGGCCTGAACTGCATAGCAAGACCCTGTCTCAAAACAAAGCAAAATAAAGATGTACTAAAGAAAAAAGAAATTGCAAACCAGAAAGCCCTATTTAACTCTTCCAGCATTGAAATGATGTTGCTCATAGTGAAACCTACACAGGAAACGGAAACAGAAAAGGTCAAAATTGAAACACCAACAAGGAGGCACAAGAAATTAAAGAGAATACAGGTCAAGGCCTTTCCCTCCAAAGGAGGTGGTAGGGATGACACTGATTGGTGTTTCTTTTTGGTGTCCAAATGCCAGAAGACTCAGTTGAAGGTTTAGGTAATCCATCCCGGGCTCCATCCTCAGTAAGTGCAATCTTCCCGGATTCCCGGTGCCCCTGGAAGGTAGATGTCCCACTCCCTACCAGTAACTTCGGATCGGTTGGTTTTCCCAATTCCCTCGTCTTCGGCTTCCCTTTCCTCCGGAGTCAAGACTCTGGTTTCTCCACAAGCCCTAGCCCTCCATGAAAGCCTCCGGGAGAAGGCTGAATTTCCCTTTAGCTCCTCACCCCTCCGGCCTACCAGTTCTCCAATGAACTCTGCAATAAACTCTTGAGGGACTAAAATCACTCTCCAGGCCCAGTCTCCGCTTTCGCCCCGCCTCTGGAGACACTGGACTCGGACTCCTGCACCCGGATCTGCGGACCCTAATCGCCATCTAGTGCCTAGACGTCAACACCAGGACCGGGCTCCTCAGCTCTCACCTGCGGACCTTGACCATCGCTCCCAGATCCTGGCGATGCAGGCGCTTTCCGCTTCCTGCTAACTGCTTTCCGGGCCATAGTGGGCAGCGCCGCCGCGGCCCCGCAGCCTCATGGGGCGGGGGACGCGAGGGGTAGTAGGAGAGCGAGTCATATACCGGGCCCCGGGGAGGCGCGCTTCGGTGCGCCTGGCCCGGAAAATGGCCCCGCCCCGGGGCAGAAGTAGGAAAAAAAGCAGCAGACGGTAGGGAAGGAGAGAGGGAGAACCGGGATGGGGACGAGAAAGGGGAAGAGAAGACAGGAACCAGAAGATTTCCCACTACAGACTCGGATAAGGACGGCGAGCGGAAGGAACCAAAACACCCCTGCCCCCTCGGCACGCGTGACGTCAGTAATGCGCAGTCGCACTTCGCAGTGCGTCGCCAAGGAGACGCAGAGACCCACGGAGCGAGATTTCGAGCTCCTAGCAAAATTCGTGACTGTTGCTCAACCGCCCCCTTCTTCCAACGGTCGCTTTGCTGCTGCTGATGGTGAACGATCTGGAGCAAAAAAGGAATTCTGGCTTGTGGCTGCCGACCTTGGACCCGGATCCTCCCTTCCGCCGGCGCTCGGAAGTGAGGATGATTGGCACATATGGGAGAAGTAGTGTAGTTCCTCTTGTATCGTACTGGTTCTTACCTTAGACTGACTTCCTCCTGTCAAGCACCTGGCGTCTTACATCTCCCCGGACCTATCACAAATTGTTTCCTGGGACCTAGGGCGGTGCCCCTTACCAATGTGGAATCTAACATGGCCAGACTTTCCCCTCGCAGAGAACTGACAGATACAAAGAACTCAAGCCGCCTCCGCGGGACTTTGGCTACCCTCTCCTGGTCCCAGGAGACCCCTCAGGCTCCGTTCTCCAGTCTGTGTCTTCCTTCACTCCTCTGTCCCTTCCTCATTCCTGTCATTGGGAATCAGGACAGTCCCTCGGTCACTTCCCGACGGTGAGACCTCATGCATACTAGTGAAGAGCTTTACCTCTGAGCTGAACCTGGAGACCCATAGTCAAAAGAAACTCCTAGGGAGTGTTCTTGAGACTGGTGGTGCCCAGTTACCTGCTTATCCCTTCAGGCTTCAGGCCTCATACCTCCAAGGAGTTCCATTGGCCCATCTGACTCTGCTTATGAGGGAATTTGAATTTGTTTTCCAATCTGAACCAAAGACCAGTTTAAGACAGGGTGCTCCAGTATTCCAGCTTGGCTGCCTTTAACCTTCAATGCCACCTTGGGAATGGCAGCCTCGGCTTTCTTGGTTATGTAAACTGGCACTGCAAAATGGAACTTTAAAAGTTAGGAGTTTGTTTTTGTTTTTGTTTTTTTCTTTAAAGGCAAGTGGTTTTACCACATTTTCTCAGGCTTAGGGTAGAAATAGCTCTTCCCACCTCTCTTAAGTCCGGATTTATGGACAGAATTTCCAGGTGGTGGCACTAGCAGATCAAGTCCAGTTTCATTCCCTTGGGCAAAGGATGGAGAGATCCAGGATCCAAGAAGGGATAAAGCAAGGGTGAACAGGTCCATTGTTTTCATTGTACTCCCTCCCCCAGCCATTCCTTGGCATAAAAGGCCCGTGTACCAGGAGATGCTGATATGAGGCAAGTCGGTCCCTCCATCTTCTCAGAGCTAGTGTTGAGACAAGGGTCTCATTATGTAGTTCATGCTGGCCTTGAACTCACTATGTACTGCAGGCTGCCCCCAAATTCACATTGACCATCCTGCCTCAGCTTCCTGAGTGCGAGGGTTACAGGCCTGCACTACCATGCTTGGCCTCAGAGATAGTGTTAAATAGATACTTTTTCCTGCCAGGTATGGTAGTGCACATCTGTAATCCCAGCACTCGGGAAGCTGAGGCAGGGGGATCATTGTGAGTTCAAGACCAGTCTGTGCTACAAAGTGAGCTCAAGGCCAGCCTGAACTGCATAGCAAGACTCTGTCTCAAAAAGACAAAAAAAAAAAAAAAATGTTTTTTTCTTTTTTACCAAAATATATGGCTTCCTTTGATTTGATCAGCAGCAAGTAAACAAACCTAAGTGAGTGTATTAACTTAAGTGGGCAGTAGTAACAGGCCAATCTCTTCAGAGACGTGTACACAATGAATGGGATAGGTGTGAGCCAATTTCTTTCTTTTTTTTTTAATCTGTTCTGGTTCTATCTTGCCTCACAATGGTTGGGATGACCCATGAAACCACTAGGGAAGAAGAGCCTGGCATGATTTGAGACTCTAGGCTCAAGCTGGGCTGGTTTTGACTTAACCTACCATGTCAGAGGGCAAAACTGGACACTGTTGTAGCCCTCTCCCCCACCACTTACTGTATTATTCAGGCTGGCCTCAAACTTTGAAGCCTTCAACCTTAGCCTCCCAAGTATTTGGTTTACAGGCATATTTATGGGCTGTTTCTTTTTTTTTAAAATCAGTAATCTAATTTATACACACACACACACACACACACACACACACACACATACACACACAGAGGAATCAACTCACAACTTCACATTTGCCAGACAGGTGCTATGTCACTGAGCTATATTCCTGGCTCAAGAGGCTCATTGTTGAAGTTGGTTTTATTTCACTGACATACCAAGAATCATCCCCCATAGCAGAGCTCACCATTTCTGTGGAAATAAAGCAAAATAAAAGTTCATTTGCAAGTAGTTACCAGTTCAACTTCTGCCTAGGCAACTTAGAAAGAGATCCTACCTAAAAATTAAAAAAAAAAGGCTAGCCTAACCCAGGCTAGGCTAGCACTTGTGAATCTTCTGGTTAGCTCTCAAACTTTGTTAATGGTATGTAATTTAGTATGACAAGTTTATTTATTTTTTTTTTGTGGTACACCACCCCCCACGTTCAATTCCCAGTACCACAAGTGCAAAAATCATTTCTGCTTTTTTGGGCAATGCTGGGGAATCAAACCCAGGATCTTCCATATGCTAGGTAGACACTCATCACTGAGCTATATGCTAAGTCATTTTTTACTACAAGCCAAGTTCCCCTAAATTGCCCAAACTGGACTTGATTTTTTGTTAAGGTACTGGTGGGGGCTGGGGAGATAGCTCAGTGGTCTAAGTGCCTGCCTGGCAAACGTAAGGATCCAGGTTCGATCTCCGGTACCATGTGCCATGCCAGCCTTAGGCACCAAACCAGCCACTGAACCCTGGCTTGGTAGCGCATGGCTGTAATCCCAGTCCTGGGGAGGCTGAGACAGGAGGAGTCTGAACTGTGTAACCAAACCCTGTACCAAATTTGAACCCAGGCTAGGCTAGCACTTGTGAATCTTCTGGTTAGCTCTCAAACTTTGTTAATGGTATGTAATTTAGTATGACAAGTTTATTTTTTTGTGGAACTGGGGATTGAAAGACAAATTTAGAAAAATTTGTAGCAGTTACCTTTTAAAGCTAAATATGTACACTTTTTTTTTTCAGTATTGGGGTTAGATCTCATGATCTACCATTGAACTGTTACCATTAACACCCCTGACCTTAAGCATGTATGCCCTTTAATAAAGCATTTCTACTTTTGCATTATAATCCTAAAATAAATGAGGGTTTATGTCCACAAAAGGCCTAGACAATAATAGTTATGGAATTTTTACTCATAATAGCCCCAAATTAAAAATAGTCCTATGTCACTAGGAAGAAAGATCAATGGTGGTGTACTCTCACAGTGCAATACTACACTGTGGTGCTGTACATAGACACTATGACTTTTACATTGTTAACTGAAGGAATCAAACCAAATGAATAATTCTTTAATTTGTAAATGTAGGAACCGGAGGGGTAATCCCATGACAAATTATCTGCTTGTTATATATAAGGCTTTAGGTTCAATCCCTGGTAACACACATATACACAAATACACAAATCCTTAGGCTTGCCTTTACGAGGCTACATTGTCTTCTAATTTGATTTCATATCTTGTATCATTTTTCTTCTTTGTCAGCTTCAGCCCCAATAGCTCTCTTGCAATTCATCCTGACCAGAATGCTCCTTCCTGCCAGTTTTCCTTTACTTGTTCCTGTCTTTCTGCCTCTCTGCTATTGCAATATTCAGTAATCCTTTAGCTCAAGTTAAAATATTACTTCCTCAGAAAAGTGATCTCTGACCTCTCTAGTTCCCCTGCAATGTTTTTTTTCATAGAATTGTAATCTCCTTCATAGTGCCTATCACAATTAGGATTTTATACTAATTTGTATGATTATTTAACATTGTCTCCCCTACTAGATTGCAAATGTCTTGTAAACAGATACCATAGCTATTTTTGTTCCTATTGTATCTTTAGTGTTATCAACAAAGTTGTGGAATGAATAGGTAAAATGAATGAATACATTTTGAAATTTTCTCCCAAGATTAAGAAATGTCCACAGATGGGGGGAGGAGAGAGAGAGAGAGAGAGAGAGAGAGAGAGAGAGAGAGAGAGAGAGAGAAATGTCTAGCCAGGAGCAGTATACACCTGTAATCCCAGCACTCTAAAAGCTGAGGCAGGAGGATCACTGTGAACTCAAGCCTTCATAGTGAGTTCAAAGCTAGCCTGAATTACATAGAGCAACCCTGTTTCAAAAAAAAAAAAGTCTAGCTGGTTGTAATGTACTTCCAGTACTCTGGGAGGCTGAGATAGGAGACAAATTTGAGCCAAGACTGCAATTTAGCAAGATCCTGTATCAATATTTAAAAATTTAAGGTAAAGTATTGTGGCACACATCCATAATCCCAACATGGAAGAGGCTGGGGCAGGAGGATCACAGTGTGTTCAAGACTAGACTGAACTACACAGGGAGAGTACATCTAAAAAAAAATGTCACAAAACAGTCATAGCTCATAGTGTTCCTAAGGAAAAACTATGAGAGGATGAAGAACTAAAGGTAAGACAGAAAGCTGAGGTCAGTTGGAGCTCTCTGTTTCTGGATAGGAGGAAAGGAACTGCTCAAAGACTGCGGAGAGTTTATATATCAGGAGGTTGATATCAATTTCAACCTGTTAAATGTTTGATATTTCAACAGATAGGGTAAACCGAACTGCATATATTGCACGTTAATAATTAGCTTCTCTTCTGGAGGGTTAACAACCTAAGTTAGCAGATCAAAACTGGAGAAAAGGAAGTGCTGCATGGTTAGCCAACATTTTGGCCCTAGCCTTTCAAGGTCAGTGAAGACTCGGGACATAGGAGAACCTGTACTGTAACAACATGTAACTCAGTTGTGCTCCAAATTTTCTGATCAAGAAGATTATGGAGCCACAGAGGAATGTGTTCGAGGATCTAAAGTGAGCCTGGGGAGAGTCACATGGAGAGAAAAAACATTTTCTCAAGCTTTCACAGAGAGCAAATTGGTCAAGCAATGGCCGTGACTCATCCTCATGTCAGACACTGACAAAAGGATGTACAAAAGGT